CTATCAAAGATTTTTCTGATGTCATTGGTTTTGAACTTTTCCCTGTCTATTTCCTTGATGAGTTCTGCGTAAGTGGGTATTCGTGTCAATCCCTGTTTTGCGTTGATTACTTCTGCTGTCATTGCTATATATTAATACTTTAGATTTTTATATTAATCTTGTGTATCGCCTCTCAACCACTGTTTATACTCATCAATTCTCTGTTTCATATTCTGGACGTTCGCCCCGTAATCTTCCAATCTGTGATTTTTCCTCACCTCCCTCAACCTTGTCATTTCGTTCTGTAGCATCTCATTCTCTTCCTTCATCCTCTGCTTTACTTGTAAGACCTTGTAATCGTGCTCGGTGTTGTGATATTCAAGAAGACGCTTCAGGTAAAGATGATGGTTGTGAGTTGGCATCCTTGCCGTGTTGCTGTCGTTGTGGTAGTAGTGGTCATAACTACTATACACTTTTTTCTTCTGTCTGGCATTTCGGGCGTTCCGCTCCGGTAATTGGCACTTTTGTTTGAATGGACGGTTTGTCTTCTGTTGATGTCCTTGCGGACGTTTTCGTAGATGTCAGTTTTGTTGAGTTCCGTTTTCTGTTCCTTGATGTTCATTTTTATATATAATACTTTATAAAATTTTTGATGCTAAAGATTTCAATTTCTCTCTCGTCGCTTTGTTCTTTTCCTCTTTGGCTTTGTTGTAGGTGTCTCTGGCGGACATCGCACTTTGTAGTTCTTCCTTTATTTGTTTTACAAGGTCGCTTTTGAATGCTTCTGGGTCAAAAGGTGGTTTTGCCCTTGACGGTCTTACCCTTTTGGGTTTTGGCGCTGGTTGCGGTTTCTTTTCAACGGGTGGTTCAATTGTTTCTTCTGGTTTCTCCTCTTCTTTCGGTGCTTCCCGATAGGAAGCAGGGCTTTGCCGTGCTTCTTCCCGTATTGGTTCTGGTATTGTTTCTTCCTTTGGTTCTTCATTATCAATCTCTTTTACGACTACCTCTGTCATATATTAATATTATAGATAATTTTTTATACTTTCAAAATCTCGTGCCTCAAATACGGTTTGTTCAATCCTTCCAGTTTGAAGGTTCTGTTTCCGACATCATCGTATTCTATCTTGACAATTTTGTAGGATTGATTGCTCCATTTTGAGTTATACTCCTTCCTCTCGGTGTAGTTGTCTTTTTTCTTCTCAAAGACCTTGACCATATCATTCACTTTGACCTCTGGATATTTGCGAGTGTTCTTTTCCCTCCTTGTCAAATTCACCCTGACATCCATATGGTTCTTGTCGTCGTGGGCATCCTTGGGTTTCATTTTGGTTGATGAATGGACGGTGTCGTTGTATTTATCTAACGCTTTGGACAACATAACAGTCCAACTACCGCGATTAAACCTCACCCTGTCGTGTATCATATTCTTCATTGTTCTTATGAAACGCTCCACAACATTGGCGTGAGTTAGGGTGACGACGTGAGTGATGCCTTCTTTCTCAAAGAACTCTTTTACCCCTGCTTGGAAGGCACGGTCATTATCACTATAAACGGACATTGGAAAACCCATTTTGTTGAAACTCTCCTTCATCGCCGATAATGTGATTGGTCCGGATTTTTCTTTCATAGGGACGACGTTTGCCAACTTGCTGAAGATGTCAATGACCACCAACCCATATCTCGGTTCGTCGTTCTTGATGGGAATTTCCGTCTCTGGTTCTTTGGTAAGGGGTTTCATATCCATTATGTCAATCTGATATTCAAATCTTGCGAAGGGCGCGGTGTAGGAGTTTGACCCCCTGTATTTTCTAATCTGTTTGTTGGGCTGTTTCCTCATAAAGTTTTCCACATCCACCCTGTTGATGGTCTGGTCTTGCTCCTTGGCTTTCTTAAGGGTCTCATTGATTGAACCGAAGCCCGTTTCAAGATTGTAATAGACATTGCTTATGATGTCATCTCTTGATAGTCTCCTTGCCATATATTATAATATTAGATTTTTAAAATTATCAACAATAAAACATATACTTAAAGAAAAAATACCTATATATAGTAAGACTAAATAAGATGACTAAATTTGACTGTGGATGTCGTATAATGACAGATGTTATAACCCTGAACGATAGAAACCAACCTAATTGGAACTACTTGCTCAAAACCTTCGTGAATGTGTGTGGCAAGTGCTACAAGAAGCAAATGAAATTCCAATATATGGAAAACAAACTTATGGAGATGGAAAAGCAACGAATGGAAATGTTTTTGGAAAATGAGGATGAAGAGGAAGACACATACTTTGACCTGACAGAGTTGAAGGAACATCTCAAAACCCTCCCACCCAATGAAAGACACAAAGTGAAGGATTTTGAGAGGTTAAGAAACCTCGCCAATGGACAAGACCCCAACGAAGGAATGAGTGAAATAGATATGGTCATAAGAGAACTGGAAGAGGAGGAAAGGGAAAATAAAAACCAACCCGAACCCGAAAACTGAACGAGCCCCCAAAAACTACTTAAAGAAAAATTACCTATATATAGTAAGAGGATGCTATTTACTTATAAAAACTGTGGATGTTGTAAAAAAGAAATGACTAACATAAAGGTTTTATTGAACAACATTTTTCCTGCTGAAATTTGTGATGAGATATGTGATTACAACCTTCACTGTTCAAAATGCAAAGACCTCAACAAAAAAGAACCTATGTTTATGATGAGACGATATAGACACAAAGAACTAACAAGACCAGAACTACAAATATATTTCTTCCAAACTGAAATGCCAACACCCATTTACTTATCCAATACCAACAAAACAAATCTGAGAATATTTAGAAAGGAAATTGATGACCTGCTTGAAAATGAAACACTTAAACAACGGTTTAAAAAGGATAAAACATTTTTTCAGGCAGTTAAGTCATTAATAAAGAAGGATTGGAAATTCACATATCATTTGATGAATAACTTTCACGATGTTGAAAAAATAAAAGATATGAGACAATGTCGTGCTTGGTGGTTGCCATCATTTGAAAAGACCTATATGTTTAGAAATAGGGAATTCAAAAAAAGAGACCTTTACGAAGTATTCTTTACCGAATATGTAGAAAAAATGATGGAGGGTTATAAACATTACTGCGACCTAACTGAAATAAAAGAGCATATTAAAAAGGTGGTAAATACTTAGAGAAAAAATACCTATATATAGTAAGAGAAAATGAGTAGAGCAAAAATTGAGGTTATAGATACAGGGAATATTAGTATATATGCTGACTTTGGTAGTGATAGTGAGGACGATGATTGGGAAAGAAAACAAATAGAAAAAAAAGATGAAGAGATTAGAGACTTTGTAAAGTGCCATCCAATGCCTTCACCAGATGATGAGGAAGGAAAACAATTGTGGATAAAAGTAATTGACAGATTAAAGAAAGGGGATGGAGTTAATGAACTTGTAATCTTTTCGTTCTGGAGATTTGACATAATGAAAAGGATGTATGAAAACCTCACTGATAAAGATGTAATCGTTGATTGTGGAAAGGAACTTAACCGTGATGGAAAATTTAACGCAATGATTATTAACATAACTCTTTTATCATTGGCAATGGATGAACTGAACAATACAAACAAACCTTGTCTAACGCAAATGCGAGTAATTGAACACTGGTGGGATGGAATAGGAAACTGGAAAGCATAAATGATTAATTCATAATATCTTAATAAAATATATTATGAAGTAATCACCAACCCAAACACAAACAAAAACCCCAACAGCCTAAACAAATCCTACCCCCATTCAATCCAAACATTGACACATCACTTTAGCAACAAAATTACCCCCAAAACCCCACCTGAAAAAACATCAAAGACGAAGATGAAACATTGAACCCCAACACAAAATCATAACAAGCAACATACAAACATATACGCCCTGAAACCCCCATTTTTCCATTTTTTTATGGGATATATTGGGATAACAAGACCAACTTGATCTGGTTGGTGGTTTGGAACATGAATTTTATTTTCCCATCATATTGGGAATAATCATCCCAACTGACTTTCATATTTTTCAGAGGGGTTGAAACCACCAACCAAACCACCAACCAGTGATAGTTATTAATAGAACATGGTGAATTAACCATCAACTATGGGGATTTCACGGGAGTTGAATGGGGATATAATCGGATAACATAGTCAAATAATGGGAATATCATGGGGATGATGGGACAATAATGGGTACTAGGTATATTCATGGTGATACATATATTTTGGATATAATGGGGATATTCCCCTGGATATTTACCGGGGGATCAATCGGGGCTACAATCTATAGCATAGCTATGAAAGCCATGGCCCATGAAGTTCGCTGATTTACCCATCAAACATGGGGCAATTTAATGTTGATTTTTCATGGGTATATTAAATGACCAGAGGATACAGGTGATATTCTTGGGATATTAATAGGGTATTGATCGGATATCAATGGGACAACCAACTATAATCAAAACTTGGATTATTCATTCATATATGGGCATGGAGCAAAACCTATTAAGCCATATTCAGGGAAAGATGAACATCCGTTTATGAGCCATTTTGATGTGTACAGAAGGGTACCAGGGTTTTGACCCATACCCATATGATGGCTGTGAAACAACAAAAGAATTTCTCAAACTTTTCATATTCACGTACAGTATCAACATTTGTTTGGAAGCATTTTGATCTTTTGATTTCGACTGAAATGGGGATATGGTGAATTACACGGAATGGACTGAGAATGACAAGGGAGAATGACAAGGTTGAAGTGTTTCAACCCGCATTCCCTGCCATGGGGATTTGATCAACAGCTTGTTGAAGATCAATGTAAGTGAGTCGGATCCGATATAGGGAGTAATGCATATTACTGTACGTATATATATATATATGTATATACATAAAACTACAAATATACAATTATACATACATATATCTACATAGATATTGCACGAATTTGACGACATGAATTTCCCTCATCCCTCGATACCTCTGCACTTTTGGAAGGCCTTTGGGCGCATGCTCTACTGAAGGTCGTGAAGCGGTGCGCAGAAGCTGTTGCTGACATCGGGTTTGCCTGAAAAGTGCCTGTGGGAATGGGTCATTTTTGAAAATTCTGTTCAGTTCTAGGTAGTTCATGGCCATTTTGCGTCCGGGCAGGTGACTCGCTACCGGGTGCTCGGCTACTTTCGAGGAAGCTATAGCAGCTATAGTCTCGTGCAGGTGCATTTTTGCAGCCAGGGAAAAAACGGGAGAAATTGGAGAAAATTCATGAGAATTTGATGGATCATCGATAGAAAAGGCCACATTTTTTGGGTAACTTCAATCACCAACTTTCAGACAAACCGATGAGTGACTGAGACCTTGCGATTGCGTCCGGTGCAAAGATTTCTCTGCGAGGTGCAGATTGAACACGGGCGGCAGCACCAGATTCGCTCCTTGGCATAAGAAGTATATGTATCATATGATATCACATGTGTATAGGTATATAATATATGTATATATGTGATGTCATGTAATGTAAATGTAAATGTAAATGTAAATGTAAATGTAATGTAAATGTAATGTAAATGTAATGTAAATGTAATGTAATGCAATGCAATGCAATGTAACGTAACGTAACGTATCCTAACGTAACGTAACGTAACCTAACGTAACGCAACGCAATGCAACGCAAGGTAACGTAACGCAACGCAACGCAACGTAATGTAATGTATGTATGACATGAAATGTGATGAGATGTGATGCGATGTGATGTATGTATGATTCTGTGGCTGTGAACATATGTGTGCAAATATCGATGCGTCTATATATGGAAACACATGTGTAGATCCATGCATCCCCTGTAGAAACAAATGACACTTGCCTGCTGTGCAGACACCTTTATTAGTCTTTGGTAGAAACGTTGATGTAGCTATTACTCAGTTGTCAACAGAACCAAGTCGCCACAGAATTAGGCCTGCACATGGCGTCTTTGGGACATCCAATTGTTGCCGACAGTCGCTACAATCCATACAAGGCGCGCATCTCAGGGTCATTGCCTTGGGTAGAAATGGAAGGCATCAAACTTACAGATGTTTTGGACATCTTGATCATGAATCCACTACTATTTGATAGGAGCGGTGAAGGGAGCCATGGCTATTGTATGAAATGGGGATTGGAGCTACGAATAGAGTAGAGTTTCCCAACCACATTTTGGTTCATTTCGCCATTTTGGTTTGGTAAAGGGAAATTCTTTTCCCTCATACTGGCGAAGCCCCGACCAACGAAGTTCAATTGGAAGCAGCCCCAGGCAAAAGATGATGCGAAGCTCTTAGCTGTCGCCGGTTGTTGCAAATGTATGCATATATGTCTACATATCACATGCATATGTGTATGCTACATATATAAAATTATATGATATGATTATGATTATGAGTACGATTATGATCATGATTATGATATCCCTTTTGGTTGTGATTATAATTATAAACATGATCATGACTATGGTTATGATATGATTATAAACATGATAATGACTATGATTATGATATGATTATGACTATGATTTTTGATACTGATTTTGATTATGATTATGATATGATGTGATTATGATTATGATTTTGATTATGATTGTGATCATGATTATGATTGTGATCATGATTATGATTTTGTTCATGATTGTGATATGATATTATTTCAATCATGTTGTATGACTGATACATGTGTCTTCTCATTATTTTTGTCCTTCTCCATTCCCGGAAGTTCCCAGTTGGAGTGATTCATCCTTTTTGACTTATTTTGATTCCTCAACAAACATCATGTTTTTTCCTAAGGGGATCCGCCATGGCAGTGGAAGCCGAGGCTGAGATTTGCCCGCGGCTCTTCCTCCATGCGTGCTACCTGAGATGTGTCGGCCCCAGTGCTTGGTTCACCAATGGAGGGGTGACCTCTATAACAGACCACCAATAGGCGCAAAAAAGTGTCAAATAATGTTTGTAAAGCAATAATCGAAGGAAGTTTAGAAGTCAAACTTCCGACAATATGGACAGATGAAAAGCAGAGATGGGAAGAGTCAGAGAAGAGAAGAGAAGAAGAAAGAAGATCACAAAAGAGAAAGTCTCAGAAGAAAGAAGATCCAGGTGCGCGAAAAGGTAGGAAAATCGCGAAACACTGTGTTTTTCCAATGATTTGTGGCTCCGGAGGGTCGAAAAGTAGGCTCGCTAAAGCGGCGGGTGCAGAGCCAGCTGGCCAGATGAGAGATGAAAAATTGCACGTCGTTGTGGCGCGAAGCACATTTCCAAGTCAGAATGTCAAAAAACACCAGGTTCGGAGCACTTTTTTGCACTCAGTGACTTGGATCAAATTTGGTGCGTCTCACTTCCGTGTGATTGCAAAAGGCCGTCAGTGGGCTGATGAGTCCAAGCTTGCCGACCTTGCAGTGCAAGATGGTTCTTTTCTGACCGTTCACTTTGTCCTGCAATTGAAGGGAGGGGGAAGTTTTGAAAAAGTGCACGCCGTTGTGGCACGAAGCACATTTCGAAGTCAAAAGTGCAAAAAACTGAGGGGTACGGGACACTTTTGGACGTTCAGATGTCGTTTTGCGTGGCAGGCGCAAGGGATTGTGCACCTTGTCAAAAGTGAGCAAAACGTGAGGGTTTTGTAGCATTTCCAAAAATGATGGCAGGCGTGGGACATTTGAAGAGGATCTGGAAAGATGCATTTCGCGTGGCAGGCGCAGTACAAGAGACATGTTCATCAGAGATGTTAGGAGGTCCGGGCGCTGATTTCCTGAGAAGGGTTGCATTTTGGGCCATCAGATCTGTAGGTTTGCTAAGATGATTTTGCGTGACAGGTGCAGCACTTCGTATGACCTGGCAACACTTTTTCGTGGCAGGCGCAGTACTTTAGACAGGTGGAGTGCAAAAATCGCAAAACGCATTGGCACGAGGGCGTCAGCTCTGCACTCAACTTTCCATTTTTGAAGGAAGTCTCGCAGAATTGTTTCATTCTTGATGTTGTCAACTTCGAAAATTGAGGAAGTCTCGCAGAATTGTTTCGTTTTTGATGTCAAGTTCAAAAATTGAGGAAGTCTCGCAGAATTGCTGCGTTTTCAAGCTTACAGATAGACAGCTAGATAGATAGACAACTACAACTACAACTACAACTACAACTGCAACTACACTACGTCTACAACTACAAATACAACTACATGTACAAAATACTACGCCATGTTACACTACACTGATTACATTACACTACACTAATTACACTACACTACGCTAATTACAGTACACTACACTAATTACATTACAACTACAACTACTACTACAAATACAGCTACGCCTCCAACTACAACTGCACTACATTACACTACACTACAGTACATTGCAATACACTACATTACACTACGCTACATTACACTACACTACACTAATTACACTACACTACATACAGTACACTTACAGCTACAGCTACAACTACAACTAAGACACATTACACAACACTACAGCTACAACTACAGCTACAACTACACCACACTAGACTACACTAATTACACTACACTACAGCTACTACGACAGCTACAACTACAACTACACTACTTTACACTACACTACACCAGGCTACACCACACTATACTGCACTACTGTACACAACACGCAGTACACTACACTACGTTACAATACACTATGCTACACTACACTAATTACACTACACTACAGTACGCTACAGTACGCTACAACTATGCTACAACTACACTACAACTACACTACAACTACACTACAGCTACACTACAACTACACTACAGCTACACTACAACTACAACACATTAGACAACACTACATTTACAACTACAACTGCCCCACACTACACTACACTAATTACACTACACTAATTACACTACACTACACTACACTGCAACTACAACGGCAGCTACAACTACAACTACACTACTTTACACTACACTACTTTACACTACACCACACTAGACTACACCACACTATACTACACTACAGTACACAACACTACAGTACACTACACTACACTACGCGACATTGCACTACACTAACTACACCACACCATAACTACAACTGCAACTGCAACTACAGCAACGCACATACAATTTACACTACACTACAACTACAAACCCACTACTCTACAACTACAACTACAACTGCGCTACACCACACCACACTACATCAAGCAGTTGAGGAAGAGGTGATCACTGCAACCATTGCAGCCACTTCACAAAACACAACTCCAACCACCCGTCGGTCCATCAGTGGATTCGCTCTGCCATTCGTGATTCACAACAACCAAGCTCTCCTTTTTTGGTTTCCTATTTTTGAAACTTCCGCCACCGCCTTGTGCGGTACTACTGGTAAACCATCACCAATTTTACCATTTTTATCGGATATAAACCATCAACATATGGGTTGCTTATTATTGTTTTACTAACATTTTTGGATATCCATAGATTGGATACAGTCTTGCCATGAAAAAAACAATGGCATGGGCCTTCTATTTTTCGGCACGACATGACTGTCAGGATTTTTCACTGGTTGCCTTCGTGCCTCTGACAAGACAGTCAACCCCCCCATGGGTGGACTGAGGTAGTCTCTTGCTCGTCGACTCGGAGGAGTCTCACCATGCCCTGCAAGCCGATTCATTGGTCAAAACCCCCACCGATCAGCGTGGGAGCGATGGGCTCTGCACCAGGAACCAGAGCCCTTTACTGTGGCATGCAATTTGCCTGCAGAGCTGCTACTTGGTTCAGCATTCCTTGCGTTGCTTTTGCATGTGGGTATGTATGTTTATATTTTTCTTGCGTTTGTTCCGAACAAACCAACAAAGTTGCTGCAAAAACCGCCCCAAACCACTTCACTTCTCAATGATCATTTCTTGACGGGCAGCCAGTGGCTCAGAGGCTGCCATTAATGGGAGTGTCGCACTGAGGAGGCGTGTCCTCGTTTCCGAACTTGAACTGGACAGGAGAGGATCTGGCGAACGCCCCCAATAGCCATGGGATTCTGTGGGAAAATTCTGATAGGATATAGGACTGGGATGTTGGGATGCCATTTGTAGACCATCATGGGTTCACCTCCCCTGGTTCTCCCAGTTTTGGAGGTGTCAGTTTTGTTGTCGTTGTGTGGAAAACTTGAGACCCTTCGATCTTCGAACTTCCACAGGAGCGGAAGTTCTCAACTGCCGCTGGATGCACAGCAGCTGTGTGGCTGGGTTGCATTGGATGGCGAAAAAATTGGGATTTCAAAATTTCAATTGTCAACCACTTGACGGTTTCCGTCAGTACGGACAATTTCGGTTTGACCCATAGCCATTTGGTTCTTTTCCAAAAGGTTTGGACTTCATTTTTAGAGCTCAGAAAGAAGCGCATGTGCATCCCCTGGCCCTATCCCCTCAGCTCCTTTGAGGTGATACACTTCTCTTTCCCGAAGCAAGCGCCTGAGATCAAATCGACAAATCGACAATCTTTGCACCAATCCTTGTGTCGAGCTTCTCAAATCCTTGCCTTCTGAGAAGTTCGGCATTCTTGAAAGTCTGCAACAGGACAAGCGCATTTGCAGGAGGGTGCTGGAGTCTTAATTTTCGCAGTGATTGTAAACAATCCGTCCATGTGAAAGACCCCCTTTTTTTGGTTCCAACTATGTGATTTCTGGGCCCGCAGCAGCGCCGCCATTGGGTTTGATCAGTGAGGCAGACTCGTGAAGACATCGAAGAGCTGCATGCGCGGGTCCAAGTTATGTCCAAGTTGTAAGGTTTTTCGCTGCAGCGCATGTGTCTCAGACTTGAATTCCATAGGGTTATATAAAATACCATGAAAGACAAGAAAATAAGACGCACTTGAAATTGATCCAATCGATGCTTCAAGAATTCTGGCAGTGACTCAGACATTTCTGATCTTTCCGAAAATCGCGAGGAAAGTCGATTGGCTTTGCGGCGGAGAGATGAATTCATGTACTGGCCTGAGCCATTTCTGGTGGTTCATCATTCCAAACAGCCAAGTGGTGATCGCTGAAAACCCCCAGGGTTTTGATGTAGCTGGTGACAGGAATCGCTTTGGCTTCAATGCCAAGGAGCGTCGGGGGCCGCAGACATCTATTTTGATTATGTTGTGCAGATTGGAGATCCTCGGAAATACCACAGTTCGAATCATTGTGACCCATTTCAATATGATTTCAGGAAACTCATGAAACTGTTCTGGGTTTCAAAATTCACAAGCTGTTTTGAAGACCTGTGCACTGAAAAACCCATGAACAACAGTGCCTTTTTTATCCTTTTTTTTTGGTTTCTAGACGATAGGTTGCATACGTTGACATTGAAATTATGAGGTGCCGAGATTCTGCGAATCCTCAATCAATTGAAAACCAGCAAGGCCGGGATTGGGAAATTGGGAAATGGATGGAAATGGAGGTTTCCTAAATCATGGGGGTACTCCAAATGATCCAAGTCATTCGACCATGACTTAGTATTGAAACCCATGGTGAAGACTGGGGATCCCTCATGACTTATAGCAAGAAAGCCCCAAGTGGCAAGAAATGATCAAAACCACATCAGTTCAATGGAGTGTGGAGATGATTCTTTGGCTGCCCCATTTCGTCAGGAGCGTAGTGCGGCTCTGCACCAGTTCCGGGTGCTGGGACAAAGGACACCAGACTTTATCGTTGGAGCCCTCAGCTCTGTGAGTTTTGGTCTTGACCCGAACAGAGTGTTTTGGTCTCTGCTGTTTGCATGTCACAATTGACTCAACAGAGAGTGTTGCTGCGAGGTCGGACGATTTGCCAAGTACGCAGTGAGCCTCAGGAATTTGGGCGCAGAGGATTGCACCGACTTCCTCGAACTGTCAGAAGTGAAGATGACAGGGGTATGGGTCAAAGTAAGGCCCCTCAACCCAGATATTTTGGCCATCATTTGTATCATATAAGTATGCCATTTATCCCCATTGAGGACCGGCATGATCCATAGCACTGCAACTGCAGTTGAGCCCCGAATCCAAGGTAGAAGGCTTGCTCCGCTGGCGATGGACTCAGATATCGAAATGGAAGGCCCGCAAAGCCATAGCGCTTGTTGATGATTGGTAATGTGGGATTCATCCAATTCCATAGTCACCATCCAATCAATATGACATGACTGGGCCCATTTCTAGGGGTATACCGGTATACCTAATGCCGGAACTCCAATTGGAGATGGTTTCTGTGTGGGTTTACTACCATCATTCTAGTTAAATTTAAGGGATCCGAATTTGGGAGTACTCAACCCTGAGCCATTGACAAATTTTCGAACTGAGGAACCAGAACCACAAGAGCGAAGATGTGGAAGTGCGGGAGCTGTCCAACCAAACCACCCTTGGTCTACTCGAAGTCAATTTGGAGGACTGGTGAATTGGAGGTTCCTAAAATAGGGGTACCCCCAAATCATCCACAGTTTTACCATTTTGGTTTTGAAACCCATGGTGACTTGGGGATCCCCCATTTTAAGAACCCCCAATTGGGTAAAGGCCTGAACTTGGTGAGTTGGCAGCTGTCCAGGACCGAAGATGCGGAGAGGCGTCGATGGAAAACGAAAGGCGAGTTGAGCCGGTCATTTTTTGACTCATAAGTGGATCGGGAATCAAACACAGATGCACAAGAATCCTCAAACAAATCATCAAGTATCATCAAAAATTCATGAAACATACTTAATAAATCTCAATAAAACATAGAAACAATCATCAAATTCATCAAGAATACATAGTTTGTTTCGTCGCAACTCATGGAATTCATCCCATTTTTTGGGTGAGGCCCTCGCTTTAGAACGCGGAGCGGACCATTGCTTTAGAACGCGGAAGATGATCCTACGTCATCTAGACAATATCTTTTACATCTTTTACTTCACCCAGATTATCTACATCAACTTCATCTACATCACATACATCACAGCATTTTCTACATCTCTCCTATATCCTGTACATCATCTACATCATTGACATCTACACCACATACATGCTCTACATCATCTATATAAACCCCATCTACATCACATACATCATAAACACCATCGTCATCAACTTCATCAACATTGCATATACCAACTTCATCTACATCACAGACATAGATCACGTACATCAATCTACATAACTTCTTACACAGGAGTTGTGATACAGGAGTGTTTGTACATGAGTGGTGACACAGAACTTGTTGTCGGACCGACAAGGTGTAACGTGGACTGGCGACTTGTTGGATCTATCTCTTGCTTCTTTGACTTTGAGCTTCGGTTCCTGTCTTGCAGCCAAGATACTGTACGCCCTACTTGGGTCTTGATACTGTATTGCAACGTCGCAAATCGCGATTCACTGGGGTTATCACAGTCATCTGAATAGACGGCATGGGAGACCAAATACACATATCAGAAAATACTTTCATTATCTCACTGATCATACACCGATTAGTCGTCATGCATCAAAAATATCATTCATCAGCTCTGATCTTTCATCTTTATTCATCATCCATAATCTTGATATCTTCTTTTCTACCTTTTTCGATCTAGTCTTTGTGCAGAGGAACATGAAAGTTATTACCCCAAGAGTATTGGAGTGCCTCTGTGTGCAGAGGAACGTGAACGTTATTGCCTCACCCCACCCCGCCCCACACCCAAACCGCCCATTGTGCTGTGCCTTGCCAGTCCCATGATGCCATGTGTTCTGAAGTGATCCTGTTGCCCATTTTTGGGCCTAGCATCAGCCAGGCCCGTCATCGAAGCAGTCGAGTCCAGCTCGCAGGACTTCCGGCATAGCATGACACACAGGATGGCAACGTGGCATGGTGAAAAAATATCAGGTTTCAACCATTCAAAGTGATGCAAAATGGCTATTTTTCATGGTGAATCTGAGTTTTGGAACTTTTGAAACAGTGAATTTGGTGAATTACCCATCATTCCCTTCATTTTGGACGAAGCTGTCAGCTTCAGGAGTGTGAACTGCTGCGATGCCTCCGAACTCCGTCCTCCTGGCATTTTTTCGTTGGCTGAATCGGTGGTCATGGGATGATGACTACCCTCTGGTAATTTAACATAGCTATTGAAAATTGCCATTTATAGTGGAATTTCCCATTAAAAATGGTGATTTTCCATGGCTATTTTAAATATCCAGAGGGTAAATGCCAGGCCTGAAAAAGAGACCCCGGAGAACGAGACTCTGCGGGTCGATGGACCGCTACAGATCCTCACTGAGTCGGTGCTAGACTAAGTTGGACCTGGGACAATGACACATTTTCAAGAAATCCCCAAACGGTGGGGATAGCCTAAGTTGGTGGATTACACAAACATTCTTTTGGACGAACAATTGGTATGCCAAGACTTCTTGCCACAATAGTGGACCTGGCAAACATTGCAGGGATACAGAATAGTTTGGACAAAATTGGCCACATTAACTATGACTTGTGGTACTCATAGTACCTTGGCTAATGGATTTAACCAACTTGTAACTGGGGGCCCCACCTTGCATGGCCAATCATTTTCAAGCGAAATGACTTGGCTGCGTGCAGGTCTGGTGTGATGTGTGTGGCCTCACAGAGAAACAGGCACGTTTTGTCATAACGGCATGAAAGACTTGAAATAAACGATGGTACATGATGGAATATGTATTATACATGATTATATATACGGCTTGTGCCCTTGGGTACTAAAGTAAATGTTCGTTTTAACGGGACGAAATGCCGTGGCCATTTTGGATCGAAGCCACCGAACAAACTCCCCAGTGTTGTTTTTCAACGGGGGGAGATGTCGGTGCCGGTCTGGGCTAGGGATAACAGACCTAGCCCCGAAAGTAGGCCCTTGACGGTCTTCGGGACCCGAGGCACGGGTGGTGCCCCAGAGAGTGAGGGGCGTTCCCCTCAGACCGGGAGCCGACCCTCCTCGGAGGGGGCGACAACCGAAGTGGCCGGAGTGACAGATCCCGGCGGCGTCGGTAAGACCAGGAGCACCAAGCGAGCAGAGTCGTCTGAGCGCCCATCTCCGGGCAGTGCAAAACTCGGTAAGACCGAGGGCTTCTTCGCCTTGGGTGCCTGGTCAGCGCGCCTTGAGATTGCAAGGTTGCTCGCGGCCGGAGTTCCTGCTGACGAGATCGTCGCTGAAATACATAGCGGCCAAGAAGGGGAGGACCCCTTGATAGCCTGCAATCCATCTGTGCCGTGCCCGGCCTCAAGGGGAAGGAGTCAGACACCATCAACAAAGATGGATGCCCTTCCTGAGCAAAGGGAACCTCCCCGGAGCCCCGGTGATGAGCCCCGACGTAAGTCTGCAAGGGCGGAAAGGGACGCAACTGAAGTCACCAAGGAACCTGCAGTGAAGGGAGTACCCTCATGGGCAGCGATCAGCCACGCAGTCCCTCTCCTTTGGAAGGAAGGCGGCGGCGAGACCTGCGTCCAGTCCCAGATCGGGTGACGCCCCAGCAGAGGAGCTCAACGGACCACCCTCGGAGGGCTACTCCGCTTCCTTCGGCCAGGTGGAGGACCACGAGGCCGAGGGCGCAGAGCTTGATGGGATCCTCGGCCAGTTCTCAAAGCGTGCAGAAGGGACCTGTCAAGGCCGATCCGTACATTCCCCGAGCTCTCCCAAGGAGGACCAGACCCTTGGAGGCACAGAAGCTCGAGCAGTACCGGTTGGCCACCCGCTCACTATTTGAGGATGTGGTAATTCTAGAGGTCCCCATGGATCTTGTCGGAGATGTCTCCAAGGATGGAGTTGAGATCGACGACAAGGCCTTTATCACCCTCACTGATCCCAAGTCACCGGGCACTGGGTTGCGGTACGCACGCCTCATGAAAAGGCTCCTTGCAGCACACGCCGCTTATCAGGAGGAGGAAGGAGCGCCTTCGGATCCCTTCGGACAGAAGTTCCTGCAATCCTTCATGGTTAGTCTCATCCAGGAAGATGTGGGCTTCCGAACCCCTCAGAGCCTCCTCTACGCTGTGGAGTTCTACAGTGGAATCTTCGGCTTTGCCTGCCCGGGCGCTGCACATCATAGGGTGCGAAAGCTGGCCAGGGAGTATGTTTGCAAGGCCCCTGAGCGCGAGCTCGCCCCATACTTTGAAGTCGGCTTCCTTTTGTATTTGGAGAGGGTTGTCTTAGATACAACGCGAGATCTCCAAACTAGGATAACCTGCGGGAAGTTGCGCAGGGCAGCATCAGGCACAGCGATTTGGCTGGTACAGCCATGGCGGACGTTGAATGGTGCCGCATGGTCGGGGAGTCCTCAGTCCTTGGATTGCGGGCCAAAGCCGCCCATACCAACAGTGGCCCCCGGCCTTGGGCAGCACCCCTCCTCGCATTTCCCCCGACACCGACTCATGGCTGACCTGCCTGGCTGAGCTCCTCTTGACCATGCATGGGCCGGGATGGAAGCACCACTCCTTCGTTGGGTGCGCAGCGGACGGAGCGGGGGGGTTCCTCACCTCGCCTCCCCTCATTGACGAGGACGTCCTTACCGTCAAGCGCGCACTAAAGGAAGACCTGGATAGAGGGAAGAGCATTCCCATGCCAGCAGAGGCGATCGGCCACCTGCGCTGGCACTCTTGCAAAACTACTTTCCCTACTTACATGACCCATTTTGGGATCACTGCTCGCACGGTGCGGTTTCAGGGAGCGTGGAAGAAGCAGTCGCAGCTCATGCCGGACCTGTACCTCCGGGAAGCCCAGACCCTGGTGATTAAGGGTCAGATGGAGGTCCTGGATCAGGTTAGGCGAGGCGCGGTTGTTCAAGCCATGGAGGGTCGAAGCCTCGATCTTATCCCCATGAAACCGGATTGGAGGGCCCCGACCGAAATGGTAGCCCCGGAGTCAGCACCGGGAGTCCGCGACCCCGCATTCGTTGCAGCCATGGACAGGGCCGTCGTGTGCGCCGTGGCGCCTGGTTCTCAGAGGAAGACCTTCAGACCAAGCAGCGCCGCCTCGGTGCTGAGCCTGCATGCGGCCCTTCGTGACGGCGGAGCAAGCGATGAGGAGAGCTTGGCTGAGACGGCTCGCAAGGAGTCCCTTGCCATTAGCGAGTCCGGTCATGCCTCCGACACCGCCGAAGTTGGAGAAGTTCTGAATGAGCTGGACTCCGTGGTGGACTCAGACGACTCAGATGTCGACCCAGCCGAAGCAGATATGGACCTTTATGGTTACTTCGTACAGTTGGCTAGCGGCCCTGGCAACATTCACAAACCGTCCAGCGACAGAGAAGATTATCCAGCTTGCCGTAGCCACGGCACCCGCTATGCGAACCTTCAAGTGGATGAAGACTGGGGCCTGACCTACAACTTGTGCACCAAGTGTTTTGGAGGACCAAAGGGAGATGAATGCTGCCCTTTGCTTTGCGATTTTTTGAAGATCGACAAGAAGACCGGCGAAAAGATGCGCTGCGGGCGACGATGCGACCCCGCGGCTGTGGCGCACCACAAGCTGCCGAGTGAGCCGGGTTTTAGCAGGGCACTTCGGCACAGATGTGCCACCCATAGTGATGCCATCCCTGACGGAGAGCTTTGAACCTCCACCTTCCGATTTGAAAAAAATTAGCGCTGGCCGACGCCCGAAATGTTTAATAAATCCATGTAGCCATGCCTCCATGTAGCATAGGTCTTGCATATTAGTTGATATACAAGATTCATGCATTTGTGGAGTTTACCCTGGGGATCCACGCTCTTTCGTATGAGTGTGACGGAGTGCTTCTAGGGAGACGCATGCACAGATGCCTCGGGGATGTTTTGGACCAAAGCCCCCCGATGTGACCCCCAAGAAGGGGGAGTAGACCTGCTCCGTTGGATACCGCTATGGCAGATGCAAAGTCTGCGGTGGCCTTCGCTCGTGCAGCGGTGAACTTTGAAGTTCACGAGTCGGACTTCCTGGTCTTGTGCAACGACCGGGTGACGACCTTCGAGGCAATGGCCAAAACCGATTTCCGACCAGCTCGGATTTCGAGGATTACCTCCGGCGCTCCCTCCGAGCTCGGGCGGGGTACCGTGAGAGTGACGGGTCGATAGCTGTCTACCCAAGACCTAGGATCCTCGAATGGGAGGACTACAAGTTCGACGAGGACGTCGGTTGCTTGAGGAAATTGTGGGGTCTCTCCTCACAAATTGCCAAGCGGCACCTGGAGAGGATGGCAGGCGATGACACGGACTTCAAGTCTAAGGTCACCCTAGCCATGGCCCAGGAGCTCGAGGACAAAGCGGTCGAGTCCGGCATGCCGGAGCCTAGTTCCGACCGAGACCGTCCATCACTCCACACGCTCTCGCAGGTGCAGGGGACCTTCGGCCCCGGAGGGACGTACCAGCACGTCCCCTGGGAGAGTTACGTCACCATGGAGACGGAGTCCCGTCTTAGAAGGGCTGGAAAGCTCCCGCGTGACAAGAAGGAGGTGGTCCTTGACGACCAGAAGTTAAAGGTGAAGACGGCGGAAGAGGACTTCCCTGAGACCACAAAGGTGGAAGACATCCTCACCCTCAAGGACACTATGAATCTCCGAGCTCGGGCCTTCCACATGCTGAATGTGTGCCCCTACAACGTGGTGGCATCCTACGGCGAAAAGATCGTGGAGCACCTGCGTGTCACTACAGCTGAGGGCATGCGGCAGCCGACTCTCAATGAACCCCGAAGGGCTGACCGAGAGATCATGTCTGAGATTTTGAAGTGGGTAGCAAAAGGCCGGGGTTCTATCGAGGCCGGGCTACAACATTATGTGAGTTCGGCTGAGTCGGAGGCCCTCTGGAAACTGCTGGCTCCTCAGCCGGAAACCCTTCCAGACCAAGGGAAGGAGAAGAGCGCAAAGCCCAAATCACCCCCTGGGAGTTAAGAGCCCCAGGGGTCGGGCGCCAAGCGCCCGCGCGAGGAAGCTGCAGAATATGATGCAGAGGAGAAACCTTACAAGCCGAAGAAGCCCAGATTTTGTATAGTCTGTAAAAAGCACCATGAACCTAGGTGCAAGATTCCCCCTGGATACAGAAAAGGAGATAAGAAAGCCGCCAAAGGTGGCAAAGGAAAGGGGAAGGGGAAGCGCCGACCGGCGAGTAGGGACATCTCCTCTTGGCCGGAGAGGCGACCATCCCGGCGAGAGGACAATCTTCCAAGACAGGCAAAGACCGCAACGCGACGCAAGCCTGGAAAAAGGTCGCACCACCGTGGGACTTGCTGCGGGGCCGTGATGTTTTTAGGGACCGGGTTGTTCTTTTTAGGGAACTTAATTCCTCCTCGATTCATCATTGGGCCCCGAACTGTTGTACTTTTTCGCGAGCCCGGGAGAAACTAATTCCTGGAGCTCGGTTTTCACCCAAACCTTTGCGTTCAGATTTTTATCCCAGTGGCATCCCCGATGTTGTTGCCAGTCTTCCCAAGCATAAGAGGAGGAAGCTGGATCTTGACACCCAGATTGCTGATTTGTCTGCCGAGCAGTGCCTTCAGGCTCACCGTGCCGGCAAGAGCTTCAGCCTGGAGCATCCACGCAACTCCATCGCCAGGAGGCTCAGAACTTGGGAGGCCCTGGAAAGTGAACCAGGAGTGTTTTCTCCACCGAATACCGTGCATGCATGTTTAGAGGGGGCCGACGAAGGAAGGCCCAAATTCTAATTCATAACATAAAGGAGCTGTAAGAAGTGGTAGGACTCACCTGCCAAAGCAGCAGAGTGTGTTCGCGCACGCACGAGCCACACCTCCCCTGGAAGCCTCGAGTGGTTAATGGGAGGGTCACCTCGTTTGCGACCGGGGAGGAGAGGGAGTACCCTCCAGGTTTCTGTGAGGCCTACGCCGCTGCTGTCCAGAAGGCCACGGCAGGTAAAGACTCGGTTTTTATAGAGGTCTTTTCAGGCCCTCATGCCCCCCTTTCAAGGGCCGTAGCGGCGGTCTGGGGACTTCAGCCCCCTGCCCCTCCAGAGGCACTGCCAAAGGGGAGTGAGTTTGAGCGATCTGAGACCGACACCTCCATTCCAGGGCAGGTGACGCCATCAGAACAGCCATGGATGCAGCAACCGGTCGAATCGGCATCGTACCGGGCATCCAGGGTCGAGGCTGGAGCGCAACCCAGCTACGGGAAGCGTACCCAGCTCATCTCCGATGGATT